ATCACTATAATCTATTTTTTATTATTTAGGAAGCATTATAAATAGTTATGTTTTTAAAAGAAAAAACTACTATTGTTATAAATAACACATTCAATTCAACTAAAGTATGCATGCCTATTTAAATATATTTACACATGGCTTGTGTATATCGTATATATATACATATATATTATTCATACCTTCGGTGTATAGGACTCAAGCAGATTTTGACATTAAATTTTGGGGTAAAAAAGTGTGTCTTATACACCGAAAAATACGGTACTTTCTAATCCATGCTGTTTACGCTTGTGGTGCTTGTTTTATAGCGGACAAAAAATAATTTGTTCTTTCATGAGCTAAAAGCTTAATAAGGTCCTACAAGAAAATTGCGCAAGAAGTGGATGGGTGTTTGTGTTTTTAGCGCAAAACTACAAAATATGCGCCCACGCGTGAAGTAAGAAAAGTGAACAAAGACATTGGATCAGAGTAGATTAACTTTTTCTCTTTGACTCTGGAATTTGTCGAGCTTTATTTTTTTCTCTCCCACTACTTTCAAGCAATGTTTTAAAAAAATCGTTATATGTAGAAGTTTCTGATGACCTGTCAGTGTGCATGCTACTGAGTTGCATTCAAAATTTAATTAAACCACTTTAATATCAATGTATTTTAACGAAATTATTGTTGTCAAGTGCGTTCTATTTCAAAATTTTATATTATATAAGTAGTTATTCCTTTATTTCAAAGGAAACCTCTAAAACAATACAAAAAATCGTTATACGTAGAAGTTTCTGGTAAACCTGTCAGTGTTACACAGACCGTAAGCACAATTACACAAAGAAAAATTTTGAGATCTTGAATTTATCACGTTAAAAACAATTCAACAGTCCGATTTGTTAATTTTCAAACGTCTTACACTAAAGGCAAGAACAGATCTTGAAGTCGCAAGGAAACAGTCAATTTCTCTAGAAAAAATTAAGTATTTTGAACAATTTTTATACTTGATAGAAATTGTAATTTTCAACTTGAACGACACCTTATGCACGCGGGGCTAAGCGGCCATGACAAATATATTTAGTGTTCAGGTATAATCGTTTCTAATTTTGAACTACTGACCAGAGGATGAATAGTTAGCCGTCAGCACCAGCCGCCACAAAGCTTTTTTTTCGGCTTTTTGAATCGAATAAATGGCATTGACTTTCACGTTTATTACGCGGCTACACCTGAAGGTGCAAAGCATATTCGGTGACATTACATCTCGAACCTTGAACCATTCCATCCATATTCCAGCATTAGACCACGCCTAGACCGAAAATAGTTTAATACCAGTTTAAAAAACTAACTTGACCATTGTAGCTTCTGTCCCCCGGTGGGTCAGCGGTGGGTGCTTACGGACTTATAACACTAAAATCCGGGATTTGTGCTAAAACAAACAAACACTGTAGGATTTAAGTAACCGAGAAATAAATAGTCAATCCGTTTCTTTTATTAGATCTCCTTAAGTTCACTGTCAATAGACTTCCGTAAAAAATTTGGAACAACACGTTGTCACCAGATTACCTCAACTGTCATGCTGATTGTTACCAAATAACCTCAGCTATCATACAGTACTGATTGTCACCAGATTACCTCAGTTTTCATGCAGTGTTAATTGTTACCAAATAACCTCAGCTATCGTGCAGTACTGATTGTTACCATATTACCTCAGGTGTCATACAGTGTTGATTGTTACCATATTACCTCAGCTGTCATACAGTGTTGATTATCACCATATTACCTCAGCTGTCATACAGTGTTGATTGTTACCATATTACCTCAGCTGTCATGCAGTGTTGATTGTCACCATATTACCTCAGCTGTCATGCAGTGTTGATTGTCAGTAGGTTACCTCAGCTGTCATGCAGTGTTGATTGTTCCCAGATAAACTCAGCTCATGCAATGCTGTATATAGTATATTTATAAGTACAAATATTTTGGAGGAACTACTCACCCCACCGTTTATAATTGATAATACAGTTTGACGATCTCCCTCTTTAGTAACGACGTTTCCTGATGTGCTTTGCTCATTAGTATCGATGTTTCTTGATGTGCTTTGCTCTTTATTAGCGATGGTTCCTGATGTGCTTTCCTCATTAGTATCGATGTTTCTTGATGTGCTTTGCTCTTTATTAACGATGTTTCCTGATGTGCTTTCCTCATTAGTATCGATGTTTCTTGATGTGCTTTGCTCTTTATTAGCGATGGTTCCTGATGTGCTTTCCTCATTAGTATCGATGTTTCTTGATGTGCTTCCTTCTTTAGTATCAATGTTTCCTGATGTGCTTCCCTCTTTAGTAAACGATGTTTCTTGACGTGCTTTGCTCTTTATTAACGATGTTTCCTGATGTCTTCCCTCATTAGTATCGATGTTTCTTGATGTGCTTCCCTCTTTAGTATCGATGTTTCTTGATGTGCTTCCCTCTTTAGTAAACGACGTTTCTTGACATGCTTTGCTCTTTATTAACGATGTTTTCTGATGTGCTTCCCTCATTTGTATCGATGTTTCTTAATGTGCTTCCGTCATTAGTATCGATGTTTCTTGATGTGCTTCCCTCTTTATTATCAATGTTTCTTCACATGCTTTGCTCTTTATTAATGATGTTTTCGGATGTGCTTCCCTCTTTATTATCAATGTTTCTTCACATCCAGTACACAAACTTTCTCTAACACTACTGTAATCACGTTGTTCAAGACACCAAAATATAGGATAAACATGATGATACGCAACATCATAAAATATTGACTTGTTGAAAGACTAAAAAATAATCAAATTGAGCACCATCTTAATAAAGTGCACGTGAATAAATTCGGTTTTCACAAATGCGGGCAACACTAACATATCCTTTTAAGAATAGGTCCTCTAATTTAATGCTTGACTTTTAAACGTTTAATGTACCTTTCTACCAAAACAAGTATTGTTTATAATTTCGTTCTTTTGAGTTTTCCTTAAAGAACCAGCCGTGGCAAGGGGTTAGTATGATGAGTTGTGTTCTGATCGGGAAATCCAAGGTTCAAGCTTCGATACCTCCGAACACACTCTTCGCTTTCATTTATGGGGGCATTTGATTCAAAGCCGGACGAAACCAGGTGCTCCTGACTGGCTTCCTTCCCTCTGGATACAGTGGTTCGTAACTAAGAATGAGGGACAACTTTATTTGAACCTTGAGTGTTTTTTTAACACCTACAGTTTAGCCCATGAACATATAAGGTGTCGATTAGGTTTATTTAGGTGTCGTTTAGGTTGATTAAAGTGTCATTTAGGTTTCTTTAAGTATCGTTTAAGTATATTTAGATGTCGTTTAGGTTTAATTAGGTGTCGTTTAAATTTACTTAGGTGTCGTTTAAATTTGTTTAAGTGTCGTTTAGGTTTATTAAGATGTCGTTTAGGTTTAGTAAGATGTCAATTAGGTGTTGTTTAGGTTTATTTACGTGTCGTTTAGGTTTATTACGATGTCGATTAGGTGTTGTTTAGGTATATTTAGATGTCGTTTAGGTTTACTTAGATGTCGTTTAGGTTTATTAAGGTGTCGTTTAGGTATATTTAGATGTCGTTTAGGTTTGTTTAGGTGTCGTCTAGGTATATTTAGTTGTCGTTTAGGTATATTTAGATGTCGTTTAGGTATATTTAGATGTCATTTAGGTTTATTAAGGTGTCGTTTAGGTATATTTAGATGTCGTTTAGCCTTGTTTAGGTGTCGTTTAGGTTTATTTAGATGTCGTTTAGGTTTATTAAGATGCCAATCAGGTGTTGTTTAAGTTTATTTAGGTGTCGTTTATGTTTATTACGATGTCGATTAGGTGTCGTTTAGGTTTATTACGATGTCGATTAGATGTGGTTTAGGTTTAATTAGGTGTCATTTAGGTTTATTTAGGCGTCGTTTGGGTTTTTCAGGTGTTATTTAGGTTTATTTATGTGTCATTTAGGTTTTTAGGTGTTGTTTAGGTTTGTTTAGACATCATTTAGGTTTTTTAGGTGTCGTTTGTTGTTAAACGCAAAATTACACAACGGGCTATCTGTGCTCTGTCCGTTTCGGAAATATTTACTATGACAAAATTTGTATATAAATCTTTCATAGAGCAGTTAACTGCGGACCTTTATTTCAACACGAATACAGTGATTGATGTCGTTTAGTTCGAGTTGTTAACAGAACGATATCACTACTTCTTAGAGTAACAACCATTAATGGAGGTTCATTTAGCACGTTTTGTAAAAGAACGAAGGAAATCCACATTATTATGGCGTTGAATTAGTGTAGTAGTCATTGAATACATTGAAAATGATTCCTAGCTGACCACTGATTTTCCTCCTATGTTTTTCTTGCAGATATTATCGTGCTTGTTGACCAGGTGATGGCCAAAGCCCTATCAGCGAGTGTACAAATGGACGAGCTGGAGAGCGGATTAGGACTGAACAACAATGAATCTGCTTCTGACGAAAACAACAACAACAACACAAATCCCACGCCTTTCTACGATTATGATCCTAACGAGAGCTTTAGCACGTACTTTCTGGAAGACTTAATCCCCACGAGTATTGTCTACGGCCTCACACTTATTGTTGGCTTAACTGGAAACATTCTTATCATGTACACGGTGGTCCGCTTCAGACGCATGCGCACTATCAGTAATATATTCCTTGCGAGTTTGGCATCCGCAGATTTGCTTTTAATACTCGTTTGCGTTCCTGTGAAGGTGAGATTTTTTACATTTTTGTTTAAATCACTACATATTAATCTTCTTTCATCCATCTGTGTTTATTCTAAATTTATCTTGTTTTACACGGAACAATGTCTCTCGTCACTCAAGATTTCTGAAGAAAAGAATAACCCGAATATTTCAAAATCAAACTATTTTGTAGTTTCTACTTCGTATTAGTGCTTATTTCTAGAAAAAAAAATATCGAATCCCACATGTCTGCGGAGTTATCACGCTAAAAACCGGGTTTCGACACCCGTGGTGGGCAGAGCACAGATAGCCCATTGTGTAGCTTTGTACTTAACTTTAAACAAACAAACAAACCCACCTGACCGGGGTGGGTGGGTGGGTTCAGATTCAGAATAACAATATATATATATATATATATAAAAGTGACCATCATTGACGTTAACTACCATATAATAGAGTAAATATTTACAACGCCCTCTACAATCTTAAACCTATCATTACTGTCGTCTCTGCAACTCATGTTTAATAACGGTCACTTTTCAAATCTCATTCTTAACTTGATGATGACATAAGGAGGTCGAAACGTTGTTTCTTGTTTTGGGCTTTTCAAAGAAACGTTTTCAATACCCATATCAGCCGTCTCTACTATACATATATTTACTTCAATTGGGTTCCTCATCATCATGAATTATTGAGGCTAATATTTGGGATGCGGCTGGTTGAGAGTAATGTAGTTGTCTACATCGGTTAAACATCAATTCACAATGCAACCGAGGCAGTCCTAAAATTAAATATGGTGTTTCCGACTTTAGGTTTAAATGAAAATTCCAAATAGGTTCCGGTAGAAATTAAGCAGTGTTTTGTTAAGATATTTCTTTACTAATTTCAAACTTTATCTTTTACCCAATGTTTAAATATTTTGTTTGTTGTTTTTAAGCGCAAGTCTACACAATGGATTATTTGCGCTTTATCCAACAGGAATATCGAAACGAGGTTGTTAGCGTATAAGCCCCAAGCTTATCGATGAGCTACTGTTGGAGAGGAGGGGTACTGTTTAAAGAAAACTTTATCTTTGTGAGACCTAGGCATCAAAGTGTGTCCTTTAAAAGTGACATTAGTCTTGGGTTGTTTCTTTGTTGAATTTTGCACCAAGTTACACGAGACTTATCTGCGCTAGCTGTCCTTAATTTAGAAGTGATAGATTAAGGTAAAAAAAAGGCAGGTAGCCAACACCACCTCTCTCTAATTCTTGGGCTACTCTAATTGAACAATTGTATTTATTTGTCACCCTTATAACACACCCAAGGCCTCAGAGTTGGAACGCTCTTTTTCTAACAGTCCGACATATTAATCTTTTGTTCACTCTCGGTTAGTACCTCTTAGAGATCATTCCACAACGCTAGTATGTTTTTGTTTTTCATGTCATCATTATGTTTAATACGTTAAAGTAAATGTATCAAGCAAAAGTATTAAAGTTGTCTGCTAAACCAAAATGACAAGAATATATAGCAGTAATATTTAAAATAGCGATTAAAACACTGGGGATTTCCTTTTACGGATGATTTCATTTTCAAGAGTGACTAAGAGCACCTGCTACTGTAATCCATAAATGATTAAGAGCACCTGCTACTGTAATCAATTTGTGACTAAGAGCACCTGTTACTGTCATCAATGAGTGATTAAGAGCACCTGCTACTGTAATAAATGACTGACTAAGAGCACCTGCTACTGTAGTCCATGAATGATTAAGAACACCTGCTACTGTAATCAATGATTGACTAAGAGCACCTGCTACTGTAATAAATGACTGACTAAGAACACCTGCTACTGTAATCAATGATTGACTAAGAGCACCTGCTACTGTATACAATGAGTGACTAAGAACACCTGCTACTGTAATCAATGAGTGACTAAGAGCACCTGCTACTGTAATCAACACCCTAAAATTAATCGTAAGTAGCAACCGCTGAGGAAACAAAGTAATTAGTTCTGGTCATACTTCTTATCTGTGGGTGGAAACAATAAATGTAGTTTTATCCCATTTTACAATCCATTGATTTTTCTAAAATGTAAACTTACGCTGCAAACTAAATTGAAAAAGTAGGCTTAAAAATGTCTTCTCTGAGTCGTCTGTTATTTCAGATAATCGATTCTACTAAAGCGTGAACTTGACTGGTTTGTTGCATTAACACTGACTTAAATATATATATATATATACTATTTATCTGGCTTTGGATATTTGATTTTTTCTTAAGAATTACAATAGTTGTACAATTTTTTTAGTCAGTGAACGATTTATAAAATCAGTTAAGAACTAGAATGCAACTAGTGCAGTTTGGCGCCTTTGCACAAAATATCTGCACCATAATATGAAATAAAAGTCGTGACTGTGACTAAGGTTTACCAAGATAAGACAATCAGTACAAATAAGTAAAGCGAAGAAAAAAATACAAAGGCAACGAAAATGGACTGTGTTTGGTTGGTTTATACTTTAATAAAAAAACAACGGATAATACATTTTTATATTTCACATTTTTTATTCAAATTGGATTGTTCTTTCGCGCTTATCTCTCAGAGCGGAAATGAATTTTGTGATTTGTTATTCCACGATATTGAATATGAAGAATAGAAACGAAAAAAAAAAGAACTTCTAAAGTGCTATCTACGACAAAAACTACGATAAGTTTGTATGATTTAGTTCGGATTTGAATGCTAGAATCTACGAAATTACAACGCTAAAATCCAGAGTTCGTTGTAAGGGAGAAAGAGAGAAAGACGTGGTCAACGTTTTGGCCAAAAGACTATAATCTTTCTCGTTGATTATTAGTTTTTAGATGAGACTGTATTTTAAGTTTTTAATTTTACTACTTAGAAGAGCATGTATATGTACGTATGTTTTTTTAGAGCAGTGTTGTAAGTTCTTAAACTTACCGCCTCCCACCAGGAGACACATAGGAGATCAATTCTGCGTTACGTATTTTGAAATCGAAAGAACACAAATAAACATAAGTTTGTATTGCAGTAATTGTTTACCTTTACCGTGAGTTATGACAGCCAGTGCTAGAACTCGCTTATTTTCTAAAATAGAAATAGGATTAACTTCCTTCGATTACTGGAAGAAATACAATATATATAATACTAGATGGCGCGCCGTTTAACTCACGGGGAAGACATGGGGGTGAGTTTGTTTGAAGTTAAGCTACACAGTGGGATACCTGTGCTCTGCCCACAACGGGTATCGAAAACTGAGTTCTAGCTTTTAGGTCCACAGACATACCGTTGTGCCACTGGGGGGCTGGGGATGAGAGGATCGGACTCGAGCGCAGACTCTCCTTTCTCGCTTCTTCGGGGGCATAAGAGTACTTGCGAAGTTTGGGGACAATTGGTGTAGTAGTTGGCCACTTCTTAGCGGACACACTTAGACTTTTATCAAATATTTTGTTTGAGATAACTTATTTTTGCAACTTATCCAGTAACTCACTCGTTTTTACTACGACGTTTTATGAGTCTTTTTTAGAATTGAAGATTTACGACGCCATATTTGTATGAGAAATAATAAAGTAAGAATTAACAGTCGAATACAAGTAAAAACATTCATTATGCCTGTATTGATGACATGCGGTTGATGCTGTTTCAATCATATCGGAATCACGAGTAAGTTTATGGATGACAACTTAATAGGAGCCAGCTTAGAAACGTGGAAACCACACTGCCGAAGTAGACACTAGAGGACGCCACCAGTAGATTCGAAACATTTTTAAAGCAGCGATTTTTAAGGTTCGACAAGTCACATTCGATTATATTCCTGTCGTATTAATTAGGCTATTATTCTATATCAACTAACCCATACTGTTGGAGGTATTAAGACTTTAGATCATACAAGTTCGTGTAGAAGTAAAGCCAGAAAGGTTTGAAGAACTTGGTGAATCTAAAAAACATTCTTGATACATGATAATTATAAGAAAGAAATCTAAACGAACCATTTTGTTTTCTATTTGAATGGTGAAGCTACCAAGGAAGACAGCTAGTCAACAGTACCCTACCACCCACTATCCATCTTAAGGGATTGACTGTCACTCTTATAATTCACCCACAGCGTAAATATTTTGTGACATCGCAGAATTTGAACCCAGCTTGCCAGCTCCGAAATCCAGAGCTTTATCAGAGGGCAAACACTTGCTCTCTAAACAATATAGCGCTATTAAGTTAAACAAGTTTTATATTAATACCACATAGTTTTGTTCAGATTCACTTTAACCTTCGCTAGAAGCCGCCACTTTCTATTTTCTTCTACAAATTTCAAAGCCATAAACATATTTATATACTGGAATGGGGAGCCAGAGAGATAAATGTCACTCGGGCCTATATCTCACTAAATGTCATTCGGAATTAGATCACACTACACGTCACTAAGAACTAGACCTCGCTAAACATCACTCGGAACTAGATTTCATTAAACGTTCCTCGGAACTAGATCTCATTAAACGTCATTCGGAACTAGATCTCACTGGCAAATAAGAAAATCAAAGCTTACCGGATATGTCAATGTTGACGATGAATGCCCAAGAATGACTATTTTTTTCTGTGAGGGGTCAGCCTTGATGCAGTCCAAACATTATTTTGTGTAGGATACTTTTGAACGTAGAAGCCATCAAATCATCAATAATTATTCATAAAAGAAAAGTGTTTTTGAAACTTTTTTTACCAATATCAATATTACTTGATGAAAACGGTGACATAATAATATCATGGTTTTTATCGTTATTTTGTTTTACATGTGGCTTAACGTACATTTTGACCCTACGTGATTATTTAGTATCAGAAATGGACGTGGGGAGTCAACAGTACTCATTAATAACTAGTTTAAAATAAAAATAGACACTGGAAGAAGGCAGGCATGTAAACACTATGTAGCATACACGTGTAAAAATAGTATACTCTAGGCCTGGCATGGCCAGGTGGTTAGGGCGCTCGACTCGCAATCTGAGGGTCGTGGGTTCGAATCCTCGTCACACCAAACATGCTCG